TTTTTTTACCATTTATTCATTTTTGAGAGACAGAGACAGAGTACAAGCAGGGCAGGGACAGAGAGAGAGGGAGACACAAGATCTGAAGCATTCCGGGCTCTGTCTGAGCTGTCAGCACAGAGCCCAAAGCGGGGCTTGAACCACAAGCTGTGAGATCATGACCTGCGCCCAAGTTGGCTGCTTAACCGACTGAGCCACCCAGGTGCCCCTAGGTGGCTTTTATATCACATGACTTCCCCTTCTCTTTCTTCAGCTGTAGATGACTGTGGTTGAAACAGATTCTTGTTCTCAAACTGCAAGGGAAGAGGAAAAGGTAGGTCTATCAAGAACTGAATTAGAAAGGATTAACAATGGAAATGAATAGGTGGGGCTGGGACTATATAGGTCAAAGTTAGGAGGGAACAGACACTATGAGGGAAGAGAAACTATAAGGTGGAACAAACAAAAAGTAGAAAAAATAAATGTGCCGGCAATGTGAGCACCAGCACATGGAGAATAGCAAAGTCCTATTTCCAGAGCACAAGTATGAAGCTCTGTCAACCCCTGTTGCTGTCAGTCCCAGGGCTGCTTTGGTTGCAACCCCAGTTCCTGGGGGCCTGGATGTACCATGGCTTCTGTTTTCGGTTTCTATTATTGTACCATGTACCTCCTGACCTTGAACTTTCCATTACTTAAAGTACTTGCAACACACACACACACACACACACACACACACACTCACACTCCCTTTTCGTCTCCGTCTCCCTCTCTTTCTCTCTCTCTCACTCACCATTCTGGACACACTGAGTACTAAGAGTTCTAGCGTGGGCGCTCTGTGATGACTCTTGTGCTCTCTGAACAGAATGGTGGGCACATTCAATATGTTGGAGTGTCCTTCAGTGAGAGAGAATGGCTACTAATATATCACAATCATAATGGCAGCTACAACTTCTGAAGTACCTATTTTGTGCCAGGAACTGTCCTTAGCATTAAAAATCATTATCTCACTTAATCACAACAATTCCATTAAAATTGGTATTCCTCACCCTGTATATAGCTAAGGAAATGCTGGCTCGGAGAGTATAAGCGACCTGCCCAGTGACACCAATTAGTGAGTGGTAGAGGCAAGATTTGAACTTAGTGCTGCCTGACTCATGCCAAAGCTTGTGCCCTTTTCACTCTGTTGTGATATCTTCCTCAGGAATTCTGTTAAAACCAGCTTCTCTTGAAGCTGAATTCAGCCTCCCAGAGAGCAGTGGTTCAAGCGTGTTTGGCTTTGATACCTTTAAGTAAGGCAGGCACCTTGCAGTTCAACACAGTCTCCACTGTTCCCTATTACTTTATACCCAGAACTCTTCCCTCCTTTATGTTATTTTCTTAACCCCCAAGGGCACTGGAGTTTGCAGCCTCTGTGAGTAAGTACAATTTCTTACGTAGAGTACCCGATTTCAGACTTCTTTGTACCATGCCTCCAAGTAACTATTAGTGTTCCCCATAAGGATGACTCTCAGCCACTTTGATCTCCACACGTGCCAAAATTAAACTTTTTTTCTTTCTCTATAAACATGTTCCTCCTCCTTCATTCCTTAGCTAATGACTGGCATTGTCCCTGAAACTCCTTTACTCCCCAGAACCAAATAATGTCAAGTTTTATTAATTTTACCTCTTCAGTATTTATACCACTTCTCCTTTCCACCGCCACTACTCAGGCCCTCTTCATCTTCTTCCTGGGCTAGCAAATGCTTCATCTTGGTCTTGTCCCAGTAAATTTCTCCTGCAGGCTCATTCCTGAGTTCACATTTAAAATTCACATTTGATCTTATCACTCTGTGCTCAGAATTCTGCAGTGGTGCCCGTATTAGTTATCTCTTGCTGCATAACAAGTGGCCCCATAATTTAGAGACTTAAACAGCAAAGCATTTATTATCTCATAATTTCTTTGGGTCAGGAATCTGAATGTAGCTTAGCTGGCTTGAGGTCTCTTACAAGGCTCCAATCAAGGTGTTGGCTAGAACTGTGGTTTCATCTCAGGATTCAACTGGGAGGATTTCCTTCCAAGATCACTCCTGTGATAGTTGGCAGTCTTCGTGTCCTTATTGGCTATTGGCCAGAGATGTCAGTTCCTTCCCATGTGGGCTTTTCCATAGGACCACTCACAATATGACAGTTGGCTCCCTCAGAATGAGATCTCTGAGAGAGACGGGGAGAGAGATGAAAGCAGCATAAGTCACAGTCTTTGCAACCTTATCTCAGAAGTGACTTCGTGACTACTTCTGGAGTTGCTAGATCCAGCCCATACTGGAGGGAAGGAATGATGCAAGGTGTGAATACCAGGAGGTGGTGACCATTGGGAGCCATGGTAGAGGCTGCCTACCACAACCTCCCCCTCCCGAAGCAATGGTTTGGCTTTGGTGTTGTGGAGGTTACAAACACATAGGTTTCCTCACCAACATATATCATGCCTCAACAGGAGCAGCTGGGCTTCCCAAATCTGTTTCTTTTATGCTTTCTGATAAGTGTTTCCAATGAACAAAGTGCCTCTAGCTTAGAGCTGTTCAAAAACTACTGGTTTAGAGGACTAAATCGAAACTTTGTTGGGCTTCACATGATTTGACCCCTGTCTACCAATTCTGCCTCTTATCTGACCGCTCCTTTAGCCCATATTACTTCCAAGCAAGACAGACTTCCAGAACAGCCCTTTGCCTTTCTTGCTAGCATGCATGCTGTTCCCTCTCCCATAATACATCACTCCCAGCTTGTCTGCATTGCCGGTGTTACTAAGTCACCCTTTCCATGAAGTACCTTTTGATGGTTCCAGGCAGACTTAGCTGTTTCTTTCTTATTCTTCTAGTTTGCTTTGTTTAAACTCCTTAATCAAAGCAATTACCTTTTATACTCTTTTATGATCGGTTTATGTCTCCCCTTTAAATTATCTCCAGCATCCAACCCAGAGCCTGGCACATAGGAGACACTCAATAGCTATCTGTGGAGATCAATGAGCCCAGCATTGCCCAAGTGCTTGGGGCCCTGGGTGTGGATGGAGTGCTGACCATAGCCTGGCA